TAAAAGACAGCATTCTACACAATTGGCTTCTCCTCTTAATCAATCTGTTTTTTAGTGAAAACTACTACCTTCCCCCTTTGTCCCTAACCACATATTAATTTTAAAAAAAAAGCAAAGCACCATTGAAATTCCTTTTAAATAGCACTTGTGTTGTTGTACTTAAAGCTGGAAAGAGCTTTGAGCTGTTTCTAATAGAACACATGTTAAAAGTGAGAAATACTGTGGAGATCTCCTGCTGTACATTAACTTGGTGACAGACAGATGAATATGATGTGGTGTGCACAGCATGTCACCCTAGCACCTTGAGCCTGTCTTATTGGTAAGGGAAAACCAGTTGTAATACACAGAACACTCAAGATTATGAAGATATAACTGGCCATGTGTCTTGCTGGCATTTTAGCTATGAGGAAAAATGCAGCTAACAGGACCTGGTGTTTGGAAACACATTCCAAAAGCATTGTGGTCTGTCCCAGCTGAGGCTGCTTGAAGAGAAAGCTGAACCAATTTGCATAGCTCTCTAACTACTGCTGTAAGAACTGAGTGCTCCTTTCCTGGTATAAACAAACAAGTAAGTACAGACTATTCGGGTTCATTTTTAGTGAAGGTCAGCAAGGGAGGTTTCACAGTGCCCTCTCAGAAATTTGTGTTCTCTGATCAGCACCCTGTATGTTCCTCATGCAGTGATCTTGCATCAGCCACAATGACCCAGCCACGCTTTTACCCCAGTGTTTGTGCCTCGTGTTAAGTAAGACATCTCTTGCCTTCTATCATGACTCTGCGACATAAACAGATGTATATACTGTCAGTCCCCTCAGAGAGTTAAATGTCCCACTTTCCCCACTTCCCCTAGTGCTGCCTGCACAATTGATGGCTGGCTTTCAGCTCAGGACACACAACTTCACCAACCTGCACAGGGTTTGCCTGCAGACCTGTGCATGAGGGCATGGTTGTGACCACAGAGAGTAGGCTGCAGCAGGTGCAGAGAAGAAGCTTGAGCCTTCAAAAAGGAGACCTCTTTTACTTTCATATAACAGGCACTAACAAGTGACATGAAATCAGCCTGCAAAGCCTTGCAGTTTAGAGGCAGATGACCAAACATTAATCCCGTGGCTGTCAGCAGCTAACACTAGTGAAGGAACAGGATCTGAACTGACTGCAACTTCGTGTCATCACATAACACTTAAATAAGAGCTCAGCTGAGAAATAGAGAGAGAAAGGTATTTTTGCAGTATCTGTGCCACACCACAGGCTGCCTTGGAAAACTCCTGAATTCTCCACCACAGTGCCCAAGCTCAGAGACACTACCGCTATTCTAAGAAAAACCCTTGCTAAGGCACAGCCTATTTGCCATTACTCCTGCTGGGCATGGCAGGGTTCCTTCGAGTAGGTTGCTCCTCACACAGCCTGCCCCTCTACACACAGCTCATGGGTAAGGGAATGCTCCCCCTGGCAGAGCAAACCCTTGCTGCAATGGAGAAATGCAGTAATTTAGCACCCGGACAAATTATTTTGGGATTTCTGCACTGGACTGAGGCTGATACATCCCACAACCAAAGGGACGTGTGCTACAAATGTTTCTCTCATGAGTCTGTGTCTTCACATATGTGCAACATTATCAGGGCTGTTCTGTAGGGTCATCTAAACAGGTCTAGCATTGAACCAAAATCTTTAGTTCTTCAGCTAAACATTCTTCAACAAGACTGATCCACAATGGCAGCAACACTGGCACTTGGAGCAGTATCTCACTTATACATTTTTCCCATAGTACCTAATGTCAGTGAAGTAACAAATAATGGCAAACAGCACTATGTACACTCTTTAAGCTGCAAGTAAACTACCAAGTATGCTTTTTTTTCTAAAATCCAAACAGTCCCTTAACTGTATATGGCAAAATTCGACAGCCGACTCCCTTCCCTCTGCTATACAAATTTTACATTCAGTTACACAGTCACAAAACAGGGCTGTTGGAAGGAATCATTGCTTACCTGCAATCAAAACCACATTGATATGACTAATCACATCATCTCTCTTACATGTCAGGAGTCAAATGGCTTCTACTTACAGCCTTTAAATAAAATAGCTTGTCTACATAATTTTCACTCAGCAATACAACTAATTCCCATTTTTTGATGAAGTAGCTTTAACACCCACCTGATGCTTCAAATCCATGAGACAACACTCTTATGATCATACTTCACAGAACACATGTGCATGCTGCCCAGTTACTCTGGGAAGGCACAAGTGTAGCCTCTCAGATCCCATAAAGATTGAAAAAAACCACAAAGTTATGTGTCTTAACAAAAATATTATTTTTTTCTACTCTGACCCAACAGTGTCACCATCAACAGTGAAAACATGCTTTCTGTTGCAGCAGTAGCTTTGCAGGCATGACTGGTGTGTGGAAGGAAGCAGAACATTTTTCTGCCAGTTCTCTGAAAAAGGTATGTCTTTAATGATTGGAAGGTTTCTGAGGTTTTTACTTTGGGAAGGTACTTCCCTGCGTGGTTGCTGCTTGTACTTAAAGCTTCACTGTTATTTTTTCCAGTGGTTAATGGACTTCCTTTATCTTTATAACTTCTGGAATCCTTCTATAGATCATCCACTGGAAAATGCATTCACATGATATGTCTAAGTACTTGGTTTGTTTTGTCTTATCAGCCTGGGAGCCTGTTCCCCACTTTCTCTCTGATCTGAAAGAAAAGATGTCATGCCACTACTCCAACTGCCATTCGTTGAAGTACAGCCCATGAATAAAAACGCAGCTATTGCTGATGGCCATGGGAGCTCACCTGGCAGCAACAGAGGCAAATTTGAAGTCTAGTTCCTTAGAACCCGTGGCACATACTAATTTCAGTCATACCAACACCTACTGAGTTTGTGTTCTGAAGCATTTGCACGGGCAGGCCTTTGAATCAAACTGAATCTTTAGAGCTCATGTGTCTATTTTTCCCTTCTGTCTGTTGACAAGCAATCCTAAGAATCTGTCACTAGCGGACAAAAATAGAAATAGGACAGGAAAAGCTATGGACCTCAAAAGTGTTTCTGGAATTTCAGTGTGGATAAATCTCTCATGATGAGCTTATGAAAGAACTGCCCTTGAAAGTACTATGGAGAACTTTGGGGGAAAAAAATCCCATAAAGACAAAAACCAAAAGCTTAAAAAAGCAGTAATTAAAAATTACTCTGCAGAGGATGGTAATGGTAATGTGAAAACCTCATGATCTATCAGAACTCAAGCAAACTGATAAATACCACAGGAGATTAAGAATATTTTCAGTTCAGAGGAATCTCTGAGATCTAAACAGTATTCTCAGAACAATTTATAACAAGGAAAGCTTTGCCCTTTGTGGGTCTGTAACAGCACTGACAGACTTCAAGGGAGGCTCCAACTGTAGAAAACATAAACTTGGCCTGTCACAGGACACAAGAGAAAACCTTAGTGTGTGATCCTAGGTAACATGAGAGCCATGGAAAGTCTTCAGACAATGGCCAGTTCAGTGACAACAAATATCTACCTTTGTTTCATGGCGTAGGAAATACAGGTTAGAGCAAGAGCTGTTGGTCTCTAAGCCACATGAAAAGAGTTCAAGTTTAAGGAAACTAAAAGACATAAGAGATGCCACATTGGCTTATCCAGTTCTGTCTTTGATGGTGGCCAGTTGTAGCAGTTTAGGGAAAAAGTACAGGAAACAAAGAGCAGAAGAAATACAATTTAGCTATGGATGGATTGAGTTGCTTCATTTTCAACTGTGAAATAAGACACAGAGTACTGTATTCAAAATTTCCAGGTTGTGGCAAGGGAGTGGGTTGCAAATACTTCAGGTTTGTGTACTGTAAGGTTGCCTTTGACATAAATTAGTTTCTCTTCACACATAAGCCGCTTGTAACTCAGTCAAAAAGGTTCTACACTAAAATGAAAAGGAGAAATTCTGTCATCACTCCATTACTCAACAGTAAATATATGAATGTAGGGAGAAGGGAGTTACAAAGCTGCCAGCTGCCCCATGGAAAATATGGAACTCTGGGGATAAAGAGAAATCCCGTTCCAGGATATGAACAAATTCAGTTGTAGGACTCTGAGCACTGGATCCTAAAACAACTGCTGCATTTCCCAATTTCTTTTCTAGTGTTACAAAGTACTTTTTCTGCGAAAAACCTGTTTTCTAGGTTCTCCTTTGCTTTTGTCCTGCTACTGCAGGTACTGAGGAAAGATGATGTTATGGCCCTAAGCACTACTATAAATCCATCCTATCTAGAAACAGACATTGGATTTACCCTGGTCATCTGCTCCATCATTTGCTATGATCCCGACCAGCTCTAAGAGTTTTCTTCCAAAACTGCCTGCTTGTTGCTAAGAAGGTTTGTGCAAAAACAGTGTTCTTGGAGAAGATGCACTATATATCTGTGTCTAAGCTGGTTGTTTTGAAACACTGTAGGCTCAGCACAATTTCTTCCTGTCATCCCAGGATGCAGTGTTTCCCAGCATGGACAAGGCTTTAGATCCTTTAATCAGTGTCAGCACCATCTCTGAGACTGCCTTTTTTAGTTAATTTTGAGAGCAAACAGAATCAACACACATGGAAGTACTCCCACATGAAAAAAACAGTGCCATGAGAGGCAGTAGGGAACAGCTCCTGCAGGTTCAACCTGTGCTGCTCTTCCTACCATTCACAGTAAATGAAGGACACCCAGAGACAGGCTGCCATCCCACTGCATGTGACACAAATGCATTCTTTTGTTTTCCTGATATGCTAGCTACCAGAACTTTTGTGCATTTAAAGAAATAAAAACAAAAGAGATGAAAAGAAAAGCAGATCTCTGATATCTTCTTCCACGTGGAGGTTGATTTGAAATGAAAAGTTGTGAAAATAAAATAAGTCCAGCCTTTTAGATATCTGGCATGACTTGATGACAGTTGATTTTCTCAGTACTCCAGTACTTTGACCACACTCACTTCTCCAGATAAAAGCAACAGTTCTTCACAAGAAAAGACAACTCACCTTTCTTGAACTGCTAGTGCTTTTAGCATTAGGCAGAGGAGACAGCTTTCTGGCTGAGATAAAAACCAGAGAGTTGAACCAAAGGTTTCTTACCGTTAAGGACAGAGCCATGCAAACAAAAGTGAACTTCTTGATATGTGTCGCTGTGACGGTGCTGTTCGTGTTCACCAATTTATTGCTGGGGTTATTCTAGGGTAAGAGAAAGAGATAGCGAGCATTAGCTTGGCTCCAGACTACCGGGAGGCTGACGGCACCAGGGTCATGTGCTGGGCCTGACTGTGCCTGTCCATGTCTGACTTCGTTTGTTTGCTTTATAACCTAGAGCTTTCTGAGTACTTTGTACCACTACAGAACATTTTCCACTTAAACTGACACCAACTGCTGTTATGGTCACTGAAGGGCTGTAATCTCCCTACTTTTCAAAAGAGTAAGTTCTATTTAATAAATTCAGCTTTGAAAAAGGATAATAGCTCTTTCTAAGGAAACTTCACATGATTTTTTTAACCTTAGTGTAAAGTTTGTAGCATGTTTTCACAGGAAAAATAGGACTTCATTCCCTTTCACCGCAAAGTGGTACCAAATCACCAATGCAAGCATCCTTACTGATCCAATTAGACAAGTAGGTAATATAAACAAAGCTCCTGGAACAGTCAGCTCTGTTAATGCAGTTTAATGAACAGAACATAATTAGGACTATTAGATGTTCCACCTTGAACATGGGCTCTGTACTCACATGGCAGCAAAGTTTTATTTAAAACAACAAAAGCCTTCTTCCAAATATCTAATATAGCAAATGAAGCTGAAGATTTAAAATTGCCCTTGGGGAACACATAAAAACAAAATAAATGGTCTGTGAAAGGAGGCGATGGGATAGCAAAGCAAGGCACTATTAGGAGCCTTGTAGCAAGAGGCTGTGGGGTCATCTACTACATTTACCCTAGGGCTGTTTGAGATACACAAGTTTGTGCACCCGCTAATAAAACCTGTACCATGAGACATAGTACTACATTTATACATCCTTGATGTAACTCAGGTAGAACAACAGTGTCTGTCACTCGGTCAGCCTCCTTTACTGAAGTCACTCGTAGGAGAAATAGAACTATTGCAAACACATCTTGAGAGGTGACAAACCAAACGTAAGCTCTGTGAAGAGTACACCATTTCACACACATTCAAGTAGTGATGGAATTTTGTAATTTAAGGCTTTTGTTCTGATCAGTGCAGCAACTGCACCTAGACAGCCCCACACTCCTGCCTAAATACCTGCTTGGAAGTTTGGGTGCATGAAGATGCAGATAGACAGCCCAGACCCTAAAGCAGGAAGCCACTCCCAGAGGTGACTTTTTTTGGGAACAGGTTAGGAAAACTCTCTGGAAACACTTTTTCATGCATCTATTCCTATTAATTGTGTTTCTAAGGAGACACTTTGCTCCTGTTAGTTTTTGTATATGTGAAGATAGGCCTTGCTTACATCACTCACTAGTGTTTGAAGGAACTTTTTGCTGAATGGCATAATTTTCTAACAAGGCTAAAATGATAAAGAGGAAGAAAATCACACCCAAATCAAGCCATCCAAAAGGAATGGTAAGAAAAGTTCTCATTCATTCCTATCTCATCATTGCTATCTCTGCCTTTGTCCTACTCCGTCCTTGGCTCTAACTCTTGACCACGTACTCTTTGTTCCTTACTCTTGCACTCTACTTAGTTCTCAGAACAAATCACTATGATTTGTTTTCAATATGATTTCTTTTTGCTCCTGGAGCAAAAAGAATATCCATTCCCATCTAGTAATCAGATAAACAGCATTCGCAAGTCTTCTCACAGTTGCTCTGAATCAGGCTGCATAGACCATGAAGAGTAACAGCATTATCACCACAGAAACCAGCATACAGAGCACAGAACTAGGATATGCCTGTTTTCTTTGAAAATATCAATATTAATCCTTAGTCTGAGTCCATGAGGTTGCTCTGGACACAGTCTCATAAAAGACTGAACTAGGACCCTGCATCTCTCTTACAAATGTGAAGAGAGGTAACGATTTCCCTGTGAAGACAAGAATGTGACTTCGCAAGTAGAGCCACTGAAGAGGGGCATAATGATTATTAGGATCCCAAACCCCATCAGTCAGTGTGCTTCTGATGGCCATCAGCATTGCCAACTTTCTGAGTAACTGACAAAAGAAAATGGGAGTTTGAATGCATACACGCTGTTTTGGCATCTGAAAATCACAATGGAGGTTTTACAGGGCCCAGAAATAAAAAGTGTTTCTATCAAGACTCTTCCAAGAAAGCCCTCATCTTAAAGAAAAAAGCTTTTGAAAGGCACAGAGACACACAGAATATGTGTGACTGAGGGAAAGGCAATTCTCACAGCAATCTAAAAAACCCCAAACCACTGTGGGTTTGAGTTTCGTATTTATTGTCTGAAATATACGGTGGAAGCATTTACACACGTGGTTGCAAGGACATATACTGTTGCTATCTCACTTTGCACATTTTATTCCAAATTGCTTTTAAAACATGGAACTAAAATTCCCATTATGTAGTTTTTCAGCAATTAAATGAACTGTAGTATCTGTACCCTATCCTAGCATTTTCTTCCTCGCAGTGTTCCACAAGAGCCCTATGAGCAACCTTAAAACTGAAATAAATGAATCCACAAATTATGGTCTAATCTTGTCGCCACTAGATTGTCAGCACATCTTCCACCAGCTAAATGAGAACTGAATTTAGGAGTCTTAATTGCTGTTACTATAGCTTGGTAGTAGTGCATTTGATTGTGGCTCAGATCAAATGAGGTTAGCAGCCCCTGAGTTTCCTGTCCCAAACTATTTTTATCTTGAAATTTATTGGGTTTACATCTGCAGTTCCTTTTCAGCAGCATGCCCTCTGAGAAAGCCTGTATGCGATATTTTATCTGACAGGTCAATTTAGCTGTACACAGGCAGGTTAGTAGGTTATGACAGATTTAACTTTGTTTTGGTTTTAAATTCTCCTTCAAAATATGGTGGATGATATCAAACAGGGTTTGCTCCAGTTAAACACATCAGAGCAAGTAAACATATTTTTTATGAGTATTTGGAACCAGAAAGTTCAGTTACTAATTGATAAATAAAGGAAAGAAGAGGATCTGGCATTTGAATTCTAGAGTCACAGGACAGGACTGTTCTTCATGCAATATATGGACTAGTGAGTACCAGTCCTAAATCAGAGGAAAAAAAAAGAGACTAAATAAAATCAATTTTTGTTATATATTTACTCTGCGCTCAGTTCCAGGAGCAGTCTTTGCATTCTTATGTAATTACACAATATACCAACAAAAATCTTCATAGCCTTGGTCAGCTAAGTCAGTACAACTAAAAGAATGTACGTTATCTCTGTTACTGTCAGTCTATGAAACAGCATTTGCTAAATATTAACGTAAGCAGATGAACCCCAAACCCACTTGAGAGATACCACAAAATCTGGAGCAGACATGAGAGCTTGTTCACTCAGTGATGTCACTTTGGGAGAAATAACCTAATTAGCTAAGTGGTTATATGATTGTGAGGACTTTTTTTAATCCTTAAAAGTACAACACCTATCTGTTCAAAAGGCAGCTTAATACCAGAGCTAAGGTTAAAATCATAAATCAGACAACAGCTTGAAGCCACCCAAAGCCAATTAATTTTAACTAGGATTTTAAAAAAAACTATCAGTGGAACAACAAACAGAGAGAACAAGGAGGACCACACATGCAAAACCACACAAAAGGTATTTATCACACCCCTAATAGGGACACTCACCTTGTCAAAAGCAGGGTACACTGCCCTGATCTCTGTCAGCCAGCCATACGGCATGTGTCCCACAGGATATGTAGCTGTCAGAATTGCCACTGCCTACAAATGGAGACAGAAGCAGGAACTTCAAATCTTCAAACACAACAGTTAAACTAACATACAGTGACATTTTCCACCAATATCCCCACATTGACCTTGGCACAGTGAGAAACCAGACACAGTGAGAAAGCGACTGAAAGCTCTTTATTTCAGGAAGGCGATCATAATGGCCACCATTTGACCTGGCCTTTTAAGCTTATGAAATCTTTTGTGCCACAAAGCTATCTATCTCATTTTTGTCATTCCACCATCACCCTGGTACTTTGGGATAGTAGTTAACCTGACCTGTGGTGCACCCCTCAGCCAGACAAACAGCTCCCTCACACATTGCTCCTGAGTGATTTTACTTAGAGATACCTGAGTAGCAGAATGCCTTAAAGCTCCTGGTAGCTTTGGAACATATTGCGTAATTTTAATTTATATACATTTTATTTGGTATTCATAAGTAAAACAGCTTTAAGCAAAACAGAGAGATGACAAATTAGTGGGCTTCAGTGGCTGACTGACATCAATCTGGCTGCACTGGGGCAGGAGGCACGAGACAAAAAACTCCACCTCTCCCAGTGAACAACAAATAAAAATAATTCCAGATAAATATTTCTATCTTGAGAAACAACTGTCTGCATGAAATTTAAAACTAGGTCCTTTTACACTTTCACAAGTACAGTCCAAGAGGTATATAAAAGACAAGCTCCCCTACAAAGGGATGTATGAAACATTTTGGTGATGTTTCTGATTGCTGAAGAAAAAGTCTAAATATATGTCCTTCATGTCTTTCATGTAGAAAGTGTGTTCAGAGCTCTTCCCGAGGCTGCTTGTAAACCTGCTGTCACTCCAAGTTTTAGTTTTCTAGTCCTCAGAGCTAAAGCATGCATCTGTACTGAGAACTGCCTGACTCTCTTAATTCTTAGAAATCAAAGTGCTTGACTGCCTTTTGACTGCAGGTTCAGATCTCCTATCATCCACCTAAATTCTCGTTCATTTTACGTCTGGTAATGGTAGCTTTAGGAAAGACCTTTTTCAACTACTGTTGTCTCTATTTCAGTCTTAAACTTTTGATGTATGTTTTCTCAGTTATCTGAGCCCATTTTCCTATTGTAAATGTAACAGCTGTCTTTGCTTGGTTAAAAGACCTGTACCAACAAATGACCATGTAGCGAGCTAATTTGTTCCCTGTGCCATTTAAAAGGAGGGGGAAACATAGTGATATCCACAGAGAGGAAGAAAGTGGGATAGATCCTTCCCTGCTAACAATAGCTTTAATAATGTCTAACGTACCTTGAAAAAGTAATTGGTTCAAATAAAAAAAATTGGAATTTTAAGACAGTACCCTTTTTAATTGCACACCTTCCCATTACTGTGTTTTTATCAGAATTTCCATCTGAAATGAAACCTAACTAGGTTAAATCAAACAAGGAATATATAAGATATTTTGCTTATTTTCATCATGAAGTCTAAAAAGATTGCAAAGACACAGTACCTGTAAAAGAAAACAGTATTTCACTACCACATTTTGTACGCTAGATTCCACCTGGATAAAAATATTGACTTTTTAACCTATAAAACTGTGGATACTGATGCTCCAGACACTGGTGTTATCTGTATTGCCAGAACCTCCCTTTTCAGAGGCAATTACTCAGAGAAAGTTGAAATGTGACCATTACTGTTAGTGTAAACTGCCAGCAAACCACCAGCTATGACACATATTTGGAGTCATCCTAATAGCAACAAAATGCAACTGGCTAGCCATGAAATGTGATGCACCTGAAATCAAAAGTCATCAAGAAACGCTAACCCACTCTGGCTCCCCTTGTACCACGGCCACTATTAACACACAGACTGATCCCTGATTTACACATGCAAAAGCGCAAAGTTTCCTAAGTTTTCTCTCCACAGCTGTTCATCTGCAGTCTCTGCCAACTCCTCAGAGTGAAATACACAGTATCACATATGACAAATTAGCAACAGCTCTCTGAATTTTCCTTTCCATTTAGTATCTTACAGCTTTGCTTTTCCTGTAGAAAAAGAACATGAGAGATTTGCTAATGACTACGTGCATCTAGACATCCTCCCACCGAAACTGTTGGCAAAGTTTCCCTAGACTCCTTAAGAGAACAGGTCAGCTCATGGCGAGCATTGGTGAAGGTTCTACGTTACAATCAGAAGTCTGGCTCCCAACAGGTGTATGAGACTTATTGGAATAATCTGAAATTCCTCAAGAAAAAAAAAAACAGGGTGAATTTCATATCCTAACCAGGAAACAGATTTTTTTAATGATTTCTTATGTCTCTACACTGCTCTGTGTGATGCACTGACTGCTAACAGTAGTTTCACATCAGTTTGCATAGCGATAAAATATACATGACAGGAAAGAGCAGAGCATGGGACCACTGATGATTGTCCTAAAACCTTTGAGATACAGATGCTCCAGGGCATATGTATGTATATGTAGAGCATGAAAACTTAGGACACAGTCACTGTTCAGTGAAAAAATTCTACAGGTCTTGTTGAGGGTGAGGTCCCACTAGACCTGGCAGAAAAGCTCATGGTAAGAGTCCAAGCAGTCTTCTTTTCAAGCATAAAAAGAGCACTAAACAGAAATGTACTTAAGAAAATATTCTCTTGTCAGCATGGCTGAGAAGAGAAACACAGATCTAACACCATGTTAATGTTCATTTGACTTTCTTACCTCTGTGGCTGCAGAACTGCCACCTAGGTCGCGGGAGACAAAAAGGTTGACAATGGGCCTACTTATTCGCTGAGTTGCCAAAATTAATGCCAAAGGCCACCAGAAACTCAGCATCTTCCTTATCGTAGCTTCTCCCTGCAACACAGGGTAAAAAAACATAAAGCGTGTTTGGGGAAAAAAACCACGTAGCATAGGACCAAAAGCACAGAGAAAGGTTTTTTGCTTTTCCTACCCATTGTCAGTTTAGTACATTCATTTCAATAATTTTCAACGTGAAGAGCCTAAAATATTATCACTCATGATATTAATACTGATTCCAAAGAAGATGTGTCATGGATGCCAATAAATAATGCATAAGGTATCTATCTGCATAATTTGTTCTGACTACCAGATAAAGCTACATGAAAACCAATATGACATTTGAGGAAAAAGAGAAATTTTGAGATCTTCTTCCATGTGAACTAAGGTGTTCACTTATCATGCTATGCTGTCTTACAGCTCAGTATAGAGGCGGTCGGTAGACAGTACATCGAAACCGTGGAAGGCACTGTGTCATGTGCACTGTTGCCAGAACAGTTTCTACCATGCCTCTTTAAGTGAGAATGTTTTTTTCCCCCAGGACAGAAAGAAGGCCCTTCATGCACAGGAGTTTAATAGAGTATTATAACACAAAAACCCCCAAGTTCAAAATTAATGAATTTGGAAAAGCACAGGTATTAAGACATACCCCCATTTCAGGCCCACTCCTGTCAGGAATAGCATCATGTATGTTCCTGTAGTATCCGAGGCATAACGTGGTACACCGCACAAGTGCCCCCATGTATAATGACAAGATTGGGATCAACAGAGGCTCCCTGCACTCCAAGTGACTGTGAAGCAAAATGGCTACAAAAACAACCTGCAGAGCAAACAAATAAATGATTAATAATTTTTCTGTGTGTTTCTTTAGGGCCAACATATCTCCTCTCTGATTCCTAGTTAGTCCACCTGAATCAACAACCATGCATGACTACAGTATATATCTGACTTCGAGTTTATGGTATTAAATTATATAATATTTAATGAGGATTCCACAGCATTTGGTCATACACATGAGAAGGACAAGAGTTAACTTCATACTTGAAGGTTGGGCAGGTGTCAAACTATGAGCCATAAATAGGAGAAGGGTAGCATGAAAGTCTGGCAAAGTCTGGCAGCAAGCATGTGGCTGAGTGTCAGTTTTTCCAGGAGAACGTGCTATTCTGATATACACTGAGGCTGAAGACATGCTTCTACGGTCACTTTCTAAGCCCTACTAATTTTTTTTTTTCTCTGGTGGGAGGGTAGTGGCAATTAAAAAGTCAGATGTTTTAACGTATTCACTTCAACATTTAGGAGCAGGAAGTCTTATGTCAACCTAGTTTTCTACTTTTTTGAATGAATTTTCAGTATTTCATTATTTGCTCTTCAGCTGAGTGGCACAGGGATGTAAATGAAATGGAACTTTTGGGCTAATGAACAGCTCATAAGACAGCCTCTTAAGATTAAGTGCTCAATCCATAAAATGCAATGGAATTGATCAATGTGATATTATTCTCTTTGTTAAGTACAGAGTGCTAACATGCCTGCTAAATTCCAAATGACTCTGGATGGGGAGCACAACTGGAAAGCCAACTGTGTTTGGTGCTGTGAAGAGCAGAATCCCTGCTAGGACATGCTGGCACTCAAGTGAATCAAAAGAAATACAATACACATTGTTCAGGTGCAGGTTCTCTCCTTCATTGCTAGACCTCAAGAAGTAGTTAAATAAAAACACACTCCACAGATGTTTCTGAGGCAGGCCACAGGGCTTATGAAGGTTTACAAAACTGCTCTTTTGAACCTACAAAAACATCATTTTTCAGAAAACAGAAGGAAAGTCAGTCAGGAAGAATGTGAATATGAAGCTATCCAAGGAGAACTAGCTACTGCCTGCCCACCTATTGCCTATGTAGAGAACTGATGTAGCTGTGGAGAGTGCATGGAGAGTCACAACTTTCTGTCTTCTGGACTTGCTCTTGCTCTGTGTAATATTTTGCTGAGAGAAGATGACAGGTGTCTTACTCTTCACAACCCTGGCACCCCATTCACCAACCACAGTGGAAAGGGTATGGACAAAAAAAGAATTTGTTTCTATATTTAGCTGTGTATGACCTGACGTGCACCTAGGGTCAGCAAACTTTGTAGATCACATCAGAACAAGAGCAGACCATGAGGGTTAAGGTAATTTACAGTAATTGGTATTATCTTCAGGGATTTATTTCAGTACTGTAGTGTGAAAGACCTGCCAAACATACAGTAGCCACTGACTGAATAGTTCAATCTCATTTACAGTTTTCTCATGTTTAGTGGGAGGAAAATGCTATGAAAAATTGAACTAAGTGCTGTTGACTTTATATTTCCTTTGATGTTGTACTTTGATGTTTTATTATCTTTCTAATACAGTCATTACACAATTCAGCTGGTAATGGGGCAGTATAGCACCTCTTTTACAGGTGCCAGGACTCTCCATTTTTTAATATTTTCATATATGCTTTCGAAAGAGCACTGTATATTGCTTCTCAAATACTACAACGCTGGCCATCAGCAGTGTGCATGAATGTTCTTTTTTTCAGTGTGCCTAGTACAAAACAATAGGATAGTTAACACCTCCCTCACAAATGAAAGCTCAAAATACATTTGGTCTTTCCACATCCCTCAGGGGTTATCATCACAGACCCTTTCTGCTGCAGTTCTGAGCCTTCACTTTTTGGAAGAGTAACAAGAACAGTGCTGTACTGGTGCTCAAAAGATGGCTTACACTACTGCATTTCACTGGATTAGAGAGCATGTGCAAAACTAATGGGTGAACTGGAGAATCAACGCTTCACCTCCCAACTCAGGAGTTCATCTGCAACTGTGAGAAGGGTGAGGGAGAACATACAGAGGAGAAATGTCTCTTTTAAAGCACTCCATCAGCCTCAGGATTGGTAGCAGCCAGTGGTCTCTTTGCCTGACCTTTCTTTTTCCCAGAGGTACACACACAGATATATATATATAACTTGTTTCTCAGCCATTACGAAACAGGGTTGTGGAAGTGCTGGAGCACATAACCCTCGCCTAAACAATCCTGGTTCCCTTCTCCTGACACTGGTTTGGGACTGACTTGATTGAGTCAAATGAGACCGTCCTAAATCCCAACTATCCGCAAACAGTCTTTACATGACAGAGAAACAACCACAGAACAGTATAAAAGATTACTTCTTCTGGTGTCTTGCTCACAGAGGAGAGAGAAGTCACAGAGACACTATCTGTACAAGAGAGTTTCTGGTTAGGAAAGCATCTGGTCCATAATACAGTGGGAACAGTGACTTCTAGGAGGAGCCTTTACCTGAGCTATGACATCTGAGATGGAGGCACATCCCACCAGGAAACTGTACTTGTGTTTCAGCAGAATCCCAGCATGGGTCCATGCCTGAAAAAAGCCAGAGAAAAGTTTGGGAACTGATTATGATGTTGTGAATGATTTCAAGTCCCAGAATACTATTTTCTGGTTGTTACATTGTGCACAAATAACCTGCAAAGCTCTTTTCCACCAGCAGTACCTGGTCTGAACCTCTGCAAACTTTAAGCCATTAATGCAGAGAAAAGCGCTGTTGCATTCAGTTCCTCATTGCCAGGGTTGACAGAGAGAATGGGAAAAATTTTATAGACCGCATAGATTTCTGAGCAGATCTAATAAGAAACCACTCCTTCATAAATGAGATGCTGCACAGGATGGATTATCATAATAAATAATCCAATGTATTCTCATTCACCAGCTGGATGCACCTCTTAAGTGTAATATTCATTGGTCCACTGAGATACACTGTGTCCTGTCTGGAAGAGAAAATGTAATGATCCAACTTATATTTATTGTCAGCTACTGTTTCAAGCAGACAAAGTGGTAGAGAAAGTGGTAGAGGCATTGCCATGAGGTTATCCTTTACCAGTTTTACACAGAAGTAAAAGCATTAAAGAGCAGTGCCACGTTTTTTTGTTGGCAGTCCATGAGTAAGCCTGGTGATCTGGGAAGCGGCAGTGCTCCCCATGTGGCTCTCTTGCCCAGTCATTTGAGATATACTGAACTTAGCTGTGTTTGCAAAAAAGGATGGTAAGAAATATCTTTTCAACAAATTTGCTTTGAGAAAATATTGAGTTTATTCGTTATGAGCTCTGTGAGTGATCTGGGAATGCACTGCAAATCTTAATCTTCCACTACAAATGGGAACAAGAAGTCACACAGAAAACCAGTGCAGCTAATCACAAGATAACCAGTGCTTTCCAACATGCACATACAGTAGCTCTGACAAGGCAGCTGATGTTTTTGACATCTGTCATGACCTTTGGATGTTTAAAGTCCATCCAAACGGTTTTTCTGTGTAGCAGGAGATGATGAGTCCAGGTATATCCAGAGTTACTGCTTGCGCAGGACTCACCTTCCCTCTGCATACCTTCAGTTTCCCATTAGGTAACAGACTTAGTGAACTAAGGCCATAAAAAACGTTACATTGATATTAAAATTCAGTTCTGAATCAGGCACTCACCATGGCATCCATAAAAGGGAAGGCAGCAAGATAAAGGAAGGCCCTCCGAGTTTTACTTCCCACTGATTCATCCACATGGTGCAGCTTATTAATAATGTAATACCCCAAATCGCTATATGCTGTAGAGACACAAGAATACGAATGAAAAATAAAGGTTACATATGAGCTCTGGGTGAGATACACAGAAGTACCAGAACGACTGTGATGCCCTGGAGCTCAGACACCCATTCACTTAGCAAAAAGCTGCAAGGGCTTCAGGGTATTACAGCCTTACTAGCTGCTGTTTATGACTAAGAAGTGCCCTCACGGTTCTTTTTAAAGTAACCTTTGGCAGAGGAGCGATAAAAAGGGTTGGTTTGGAAGATGGGTATAGTAAGTGTCACGTGTTTGCTAAATGAACACACTGGTACTCCAGAAAATCTACTGCTCCTTCATTAAATCAAGGCTCTTTGTTAGAAAAGCAGTTTTCACCAAGCTTTGAGTATTTCATGGGATATAGTGCCTTATAAACACTGGAACCATCTATTACCACTGTATTCTCTTGACATTACCTATAAACTTGCCCAAAGCTGTAAAAGGATACTATGATTTGTGAAGGCATGGAACAAATCACACTCATTATGCCTCTCCTTTACTCTGTCTAATGACCACCTCTGCTGGGACCTGTCAGGGCACTGTGTGCTTTGCTGTCCAGTCCCTGGGCAGCCTTGACCAGCCTTAGTTTCTTTCCTTATCTACAGCCAACACTTCAGGAGCCAGGAGTCAGAAAAGGGCATCTCTGGAAATCAGGGGGTTCCTACTTCTGATTGCCAGTATGTTATTTTGCTGTCCTATTTCAACCCAAGTCAAAAACTTCTAGAGTTGGGCAACACACCTCTTTCAAGGTCTTTCTTTCCAAGCTGTTGGACTGAAGATATAGCACAGATGCAGGGACTTGCCACACAGCTCTCTAAAGAACTGTTTACAGTTCCATTAGCATCCACATTATCCAGGTGTTTTAATAACCTCCAAGTCCTCCCCATACCAAGCAATAATGAAGAGCCAGCTGTGACTGGAGTCTCTGAACTATTCATATATAATATGCACAGTTAAATAATCCAAATAGTTTTTAACCTTTTATAGACTATGTTCTAGACCTGCATATCATAACTTAATTTCCCTATACACTTCTAATGGCTGTTGAAAGAATGATTTGGCTGTAAAGTCAACCTCCCAAGACAAGTAATGTCAGAATTACTTGTGCCTGGGGAACCTTACCTCAGTTGTCTCCCACTTGTGTCTTTTCTAAGATAACTATTTCAAATGTGAACACTATCTGGTTTTTCATCTATAACAATTCTATTATCTTTGTACAGATCTTCATATAGGGTTTCATTCAGTTCATATAGGTAACATTCAGGAAGGTTACTATTTTCCTGCATGCACATGACATGATAAATGTTAGCACTAGTCATCCAACTCAATCTTCTTAGGCCTAAAATTGTCTCTCATAACTCCTAAACAGTATTTGGAAGCAATTAAGGAGGAGTTTAAGACATCACTGTTTTGCAATGGCTTAGGGATACAGCAGTTAAATGATTAACAGAATTGAAAGTACTATTTGAGTCCAAAGAAGACAATGTAAACAAGATAGTAGAATAAAAGGAGATGGAAACAGGCACAAGCCTCATTCCAGACAATCAGGACTACCCAAAAGATGCTAAAAGTGTTAAAATCTCCCCTTTTCCCTGTGCTGGTCCCTACCTATATGTCTTCCATCTGAACTATGACTGTTACACCCACAGTCTCCAAGTTCACCCAGTAAATCCCAAGTTGCTTAGCTATCTTCCTGGGGCACTCCTAGCCTTGTTTCCTTTTGAAGGAGGTTGAGGAAGAACTTTAAACCAAAACTCTAACCTTTCCTCAGTTGAAGGAGGCCAGTTTAGCTCCTTAAAGTGTTCAGGTGCTTGTTGCACTTCAGTCAAACATCAAGCACAGCCTCTTTTTATTTTTGCCTGAGTACCCATGCACTAATCTTTGTGCACTGTTTCGAAAACTCTCTGCCATGCATGGCTTTTTGTGTGGTAAGTCCTTATTGAAAGCTGCTTCTATGGCAGGGCAGTACATGGACACTTCTGAATCCACTTATTTCACTGAAGGAGAGAAATCTGGAAGGCGTGTGAGGCAAGCCATATGTGAGGGTCAGATTCATTGAGCTTTCTCTTAGGTTCCATTAAAGTTGCTTTACACTTCTGCATAAAAACTTAAAGACTGCTGTAGGAAACACACCACCTTCTCCTCCACTCAGGGACTGATAGAATCAGAGTCCAGGTGCTAGGGAACCTGCTTCTGTGGAGAAGCCTCCTCCAGCAGTGCCATTCCAGAAGCATAGCAGTCTGCAGAAGTTATCCTCCATCCTCTACATGCACTTTGCCTGCTTTACATGAGACTTTTAAAAAGTGAGTTATAAGTAACTTTTTTGGCTCTAAAAGCCACTGCAATGTTTACATTTTTTTGTTTTTTTAAAGTTTACTATAACAGAAAACTATTCTCACTTCTAGGAACAAACAGTCCACCATAGGATTGTAGTTTATTGACAAGGCACTCTCAGTGGGTCTTAAACTATCACAGCCTGCAGCACCACATTTTTAAGATTTCTAGGAAAAGCACTGAGCTCTGTAAGCTTTAGGATTTTTTTTCTCCCCCCATCAACAAAAAGTCTAATTGCACTTCTAATGTGAATTTGTTTTCAAAATCATAATGGCTAAGCTTAAAAGATTATTTTCAAAATGGCCAACTATTTCACATGTCAGTGAAAGCAAACAATTACTTTTGCTGGTGTCCATTAATGTTTCCATCCTCAGAAAGAAGGACTCAGCAAGCTGAGTTTTACTAACAAATATACAGTCATGTGTCACTGAGCTGTGAATCAAGCAATTGCTGATGCAATTAGAACTTAACCTTGGCCAACCTTAAAAACTTATTATGAAGAACACTACAAAATTAATGACATAGACCACAGAGCCAAAGAGCATTACATGAATCTAAAGCAGATGGTCTTCCCATTTCTTGCATAATTTCAACCAAAACAGAGAAGTCCAACTCCAAGACAAGCTGCCTGTTTGCTCTCCTCTAATATCTAATTTATTTTCCTATGTCTATGGATCAATTTTGCTACAGAAGTTAAGCAGAAATTCTTGCTTTTGGTTTTTCCAGTTGAGTTTTAAGACCCAGAAGCTTAAGAAATGACTTTGAAAACAGTATACCTAATTGGATCTCCTCTTCCCTACATCAATTTCTCTAATAAGCCAATTACTACCACATAAAGTTCAGATATTCTTAAAACAACTGAACACACTCTTAATGATGCCAGCAGTGTCAGACAAATAGCTGTACTACAGTTATTTTGGAGCTGACTACTAATGAACATGTTATACTTCAATCTTAAGGAAAAATAAAAGAAATCCTCATAGAAACTGATACCATTTACTTCCAGGCATGGAGCTACATGTCAATACTAGCTTTACCAGAGGAAAAAAAAAGATTAAAAAAACTGTTTTTGGTTAAAGTGTGTTCTAGACATTTTCATACTTTGCTGCCAGTTTTAAAAATGAAGTTGGAGACTTTAGAAGTAAAAAAATCTATTCTTCTGCTTGTCAGAAAGATTGCTCACACGGTCAAAACTGATGATGATCAGGAGTTTCTCAATCACTGTCACAGAATATGCTGAGTTGGAAGGGACCCATTCTCTTAAGAGAATTGCCCATATGGGGATCAAGCCCATGACCTTGGTGGTATTAGCACCATGCTCTAACCTGAGCTAACTTGTTCAGCTAAGTGATTTGGGCAGACAGGAAAATACCAACATGAAAAAATAAAACTGAATAGCAAATCTTCATTTGGAGATGACATAGGGTATATGGATTTCTTTATGTCTTTGATAAACCTGATTTAAAAGGGAAGAAAAAGCTTGTGTGTCCCCCTTGTGAAAGCCCAGATGATTGGAGTGTTTAAGGCTTTGTGGTTTGGGGGTTTTTTTGCTTATTTTTACATGATTTAGAAAAAAAACCAAAACAGCTTAGGAGCATCTCAATGCAGACTGATTACTGCAATCACCTTTTTCCATGCTCAACTCTAGTTCCGAAACTGCTTTAGTTGATTTTCCCATTATCAATGACAAGTTGTATCTGAAATATCTTCATATAAGCCATAAAACACCTCATAAGTCTCAAAATTTCACTGTTTTAAATAAAACCCAATAATTGTTATCCAGAAGTGCTTTGGTCATAGGCTTTCTTCCTTTGCCCTCAGTACCTTACTGAGAAGAAACTGCTCCTGTTGTGGGAGAAGGGGTGAGGCAGCCAGGGAAGCACATTACTGCTTTAACAATGGCCATGTGAAGATGCTGAAGTAGGAAAAATTTTTAACAAGTAACATTTTAATTTTAGAAAAGAAAAAAAAAAAAAAGAAGGAAAGCATGGATTATATTCTGATTTGTGTTCCTGTAATTTTTTTTCCAGGGCAAAATGGTTAGTATGAGCCAGTACGGTGGGCACACTGGAACAAGACCGACTGGAAAAAATAGCTCAGCTTGTCATAACCACTCTGTAACATCTAGTCTCTAGAAAATTCCAGTAGTGCTACACAGGAATTGGTGGGATTACACCTATGTCTCACTTATGCGGATCTTTCATGTACATACAGTACATGCATGTGGGAAGTTCAAAAGGATCAGTGGGATTGCTAGAAACCGCTAAATATTCCTCTGTGCAATCTATGATGGAGTGGCCCATGCCCACTGGGCTCAAAACAAATCACTCTCATGTCTTGTCCATCCAATCTGCTATAGATCACTAAAGTTAACTTGTACTAAAGTTTACTGGTTACTGAAGTTCCAACCATTTTCTCCTGGTGATGATCATGATCTCTCATGTAGTTTTCAGGTGTAGTGGGCATCAGTTAAGGATATCTGCTTAAGCAAAGAGGATATTTGCTCTGAATAACTTCTGCCTTGTCATTTCCAGAACCTCAGAGAGCTATTCAAGAGGAAATAAACTTTCTCAGTATACTATTTCTCAGTAAACTAATGAAAAGTTGAACAATGCTGTTTTATTGCCAAAGAAAATGTGCATGTCCTTCATGACACTGGTGTTAAAAGGGCTCATTTAGTATGGAGGGCTTGCCAGCAACACTTACGAAATGTATTATGTTAGCATAATATTATATAAATTACTTTTCTCCTCTGTCAAGCTGGCAATTTAGTAAGATACTGAAAATATGCAAAGACAGGCTTAGCATATTGAATCCCTTCTCTTATAGCCACCAAAATGCCAGTCTCTGAAATAATGAGACACTTTAGATCCTGGCTACATAGTGAATTTCCCACCAGGAAACCCTAACTGGCAGCAGTATCTACCCCAAAAATAGCCCAATGGAAGGAAGGAAGCATGCTATCTTCTATTTCCAGATCACATCTGAAACAGCAAATCCAGGAATACTGTACTGAGCAAGGTTTGCAGCAGCCTTATAAGTGGGATGAGAATATGGTTTCGAATCCCTTCAGTCAACTTGGTTCTCAGTTCTTACTGATACCTGTACAGGGAAGTGATAGGCACTGTTGGTGAGGGCTTTGCAGATGTTCATAGGAATGTGGTGGGGACCCAGAGCTTGCAACTGTGAGTTCGAGTGGTTTAGCTCAGCCAGTCACTCCCACAGAGGATTGTGTGAGGCTCAGTGGGGAAGCAGTAGTGGGGAGCTGGTGCTGATGCAATGAAGCATGAGTCAGGTGGGTGAGACAGTCTGTTTTGATATTTGAAATGGGTAGAGGTTGCTGTTTGTGAGGAGCTGTGTGTGTAGACTGCAAATAGTCTCTATCACGGTTGGAAATGTGGTGATTCATTGTGGTCAGTGTGTTTCTACCACCACTTGTTTTCTTCCTTCTGACTTTCGATACTCTGTATTTCATCAGGTTTTTTGTTTTCTGTTTCTTCCCGGGCTTTGAGAGTCCATGGCAGATAGTCATGTCATCTTTCTTAGCCCTGTATTCATGGCATGTGGAAGAAATTCAGTCCCCTGAGTGTTGTTTGTTTCTCTTTTTCATCCACTGAGCATCAGTATCCTGTGTTTGTGTCTCCTGTAGATAGCCTGTGATAGGCAAGCAGCTGCTGGGGAGTAGTTGCAGGTCCTAGGAGGCTGCCTGTCACTGGACTCCTTCTCTTTCTCCTGCTAAGCAGGCTGTGCATCTGTGGGTCAGAGCAGAATAATCAGGATTTGAAACAGGTTCAAAGGAAACTTGGAACATAAAACTTGGCAACATCGCCCAGGCAATTGGTGCTAGAATCTGACTAACTCCGTTCTCTCGGGCGCTCTGCCAGTCTCTGCTGTGGCCTTTGCATATTTTCAGGCATAGGCAAGTTACAATACTAAAAAATATTTTGCAGTCTGTCACCATAAGCAGCTGAAAGATTGTGTACAGCCCTTTAATTCAGGACTTTAAAGCACGGCAAGCACAGCCTCCTCTTTTTCCCTGCAGTATCTGCAGAGGGCATTTCAGAAGTTCTGAACTTCCAGGCAAAGGCAAGAAACTTATCTGGCAGGTTTTCCAACCGTTGTTCCAAACACATCCTTTCAATAAGAAGTCCCACATGGAAAATCCAGTTATGTCTTTCACCTGGAAATTTGACAGTTATACTTTAAATTTTGTTAAAATCTAGCTTAAAATAAAATACTGGATGGCTAGAAAATAATTTTTTATCCAGTTGGCAAAGCCAAAAATTTTGACCAGTACTGGCAGGAAAGCAAGTGAGCAACTAGAAGAGCAGCTCTGGGGGCTGAAGAAACATTCCAAGCAAAGAAACATAAGAGCCAAATGTACAAATGGCCCAAAGTTCATAATACTGACTCAATAAAGCAGCCTCAAGTATAAACATATTGAGGAAGTGACCAATTGCTATCAGTGAATTAAATTATCTTGAATGCATAGATTCAGCTTATAAAATTAGAAACAGCTTATCCCTGGTACAGAGTTGCCATGCCTAGTGAGCCATTACTGTAAGCATTTATTGTGACCATAACATGGAGCAGAGGTAAACAGCACAGGGCTCTCGTATCAGTGGTGGAATAAGGGATGTGATAGTCAACAAACTGTAGTGCTTGGGAGGCAAATAAAGCTGGTGACTATAGCAGGCAGCCTGTTAAAGGATAAGAGCAGAGCTCATTTGAATTTGCCAGATGGATCTTTTACCTACTCATGCAGGAACTGAAATAGTCCTATTCAATTCTGTTCTAATCTACTCTAGTCTCTTTCACACTATAGGTTCAACATCAGCACATACTGCTCTTGAGATACTGATAATACAGACTGATAATGAATGCTGCCTCACTTCCAGGCCACTCTGCGATTTCAAGGCAATTCCGGATATTGCCATTACACTTGCATCTCCCATTTTTCTGTGATGGAATTACCCCCTTCTGCTGGTCAGCCAATTCTACTGCCTGTCAATCAACACGAGGCTCTATAGGCTGTCACGTTACTTCCTCCCTCCCACCCCTTAGAACTCTTAGCTTTTGGGATTTTACCTCCTCAATGCAATGCCCTCTATGCTTCTTCCTCCAGTATCTCCTGCTCCTTGTTGCTGAGGTCCAGAGATTTCAGCTCTGTAGAATGAGCCAGAAGGTGCAGAGAATCCGGTGCAGTTCTTGGAGAGGATGAAGTTAAAAGTCTTCCAAGTCACATGGCTTTTTATTGCTGTGGCTGATGCTTGAGTTGACATCCCATTTCTCCAGGCTCTCGGAAACTGGCAAATTCTGAGGCTGCCTTACTTTTTATGTTCAGTTCATGTCTGCTTGTGTATTTAATTTGTTTCAGAGTCAGAGTACATGCAGGGAGCTGGCCTCAGTTTGGTATAGGGTGCTCCTAGTAACTACTTCCTCCCTTACAGATTAATTATTCAACAGAAGTGGACGATGACTAGCAGTGGTGAGAGTAATACCTGATATTTTAATGAGCATGCTGGCACCACTTGCTTTGAGTTTTGTACTGTGAGGTAAGTAGCAAAGGGATAGGTACAGAGGGAGTACACTGACAATGCCACCAAGAACTGACAGACACCTCTACCAAGCACACCTTAAAACCCTGCCAAACCCATTCCAGCAGACATTGCTAGTTGATCATCACTACCTAACAGTAATACTGAGCTATCAGCCTTGGGCAACCCGTAAACCTTGCCAAAGATTTGCTCATACACCTGACTGAAAGAGATCAGCAGCATGTTTAGCTGCCAGGCAGGAGAGCCCTGTGGGTGGAATCTGATCCTTAAAAATTTGTTTAAAAGGTAATAAAAAATTGTGTGGACGGGCATGATACTAGCCCAAGAGATTTCATCTCTTTTGCATCTCCTGTTGCACTTACAAATGAAATTCTAAGCCTACAGATTAATCAGTTCGAAGAACAGGCAAGGGAAGCAAATGAAATGACACGACTAGATGTGAAGTGACCTTACCTATTAAGGTATGAAATATAGCAGCTACAGCGCCAGCCACAACCATGCACAAAACTGCTTTGGTCCTGTCTCGCTTGCTGTTCACAAACACCAGACCTACATTTTTGAAGTCACTCATCGGACCCGTGAAGAACTTCATCAGGGAGTATGCCAGCCCATAGCTGGCCAACATTTCCACAGCATCTTCCTTGACAGCAGCGATGCCCCTATTCAAGGCCTGTGGAAACACAGAAAGCAAATAATGAAGCACATGTGGAAGTATACCAAACACAATTTTCTGCATCTGGTTTCTGAAGGAACAAGCAAGTACAGCTGTCATTGCTTTCACCCCAAGCTGGACTTTATTTTTCTGGATTCAGGAGGAGTAGCTTGTGACCTGTTAGTCAGGTGAAATAATTTAATATAGACTAAATTCAAGTCAAGTAGACTTGAAGATAAGGTAAGTATCTGTCTCTAAAGTATATAATGGAACCCCAGCTATACCAGAAGTCAGTCTCTTCCCTTTTTACAATAATTTTATGACCTGCTAATAATCATAGGTGATACAAGGTCACTGAAATACCACTTTGAGGCATCAGCCCTGATTTGAACAAAGCACAGTCCTTGTAGGTCATCTTTACAGGTAATAACTCTGACATTACTAACTGCTCAAAGTTCAGAAGCTCAAAAGTTTTTTCAGTGTAACAAGCTTTTCACAACATCACACATAACTGTTGTTAATAGCTGCTATTAGTCTATGACTTTTAGTATGAAATGAGGCCAAGTATGCCCATGATTAAACATAACTGATCTTTCATCTATTTTACAAGGTTCTAATGCTATATTAATTTGCATCTCCTTGTAGCATATTTAGAAAGAAATGCAGCACATATCTTTTAAGACATATTCAGGTACAACTAACATACTAATTCATTCTAGGTCCGTAATTAGGAAATGTATGCCAATGAATCATTGAGAATTAGATGCATTATTTTTATAACTAAGGTGAACTACATTAAAAATGTGTAACATTCCTTCAGATTCCATCTTGAACCAAAATGCTTCTCAAATACTGAATAAAAATGACAGAATGATAGAGTTTATCCGCAGTGTGACAACATCAATCATCTGATACACTCAGCAAACTGTTAAAGCAAGATTAGATTCAAAAAGCATGAAGGAAGAAATATGACTTATTTGAACAAGTATTTAGCTCTTATGGGTTACAACTGATGTATGCTGACAGGGCCATGGCAATGAGGCCAACCAGGAACATCTCGCCAGCCCACCTCAGTCTATCCACTTAGCCAACCTATTACCACTTTTCTGAATGAATGAACAAACCAGGTAGAGTATCATCACATAACTGTGGCGAAGTCCTTCCATTTCAGATGTAAGAATAGCCTCTTTGTTGCAGTCTTTTGACGTTTTTTTTCTCTTCCAAAAACCATACAAGCAAGCAACTCCCATTTATTTCAAAAGAAACTGCATCCCTGAAGCAGAAATGAACATTTTTCCTACTGTTCTTTTCCATTCTTCCTGAGAGACATGATTAATATTTGAAACTAAAGCTGCACTGTCAACATAGCAAAAAAGCTGTAGAAAAATCAACTTCTCCATCCTTGATGTCTGCCAAATCTCCCTCCTGTAATATGCTCTGACCTGAATGCCTGAGGCTCCAAATGTATTCATCTGCCTTGCTTCAGTTTGTTCCTTCTTGAAAACACCACGTGTTAGATATGGAATATCTGCTGCTGCTGCTATATGTAACCTCTCATGGGATATAGATAATTCCATCTACTGATATGAATTCAAATGGTATTTAATCTACAGATGCCAAAACCACTAGTGGGTTCACAAAACTGTATTCAAATAAATTTGTGGAAGACTGTGGCCTCTGAAGTGAATAGTCAGGTTTAGCTGGATGATGTCATAATTGGTATCAAGGTGTATAGAGAGTTACAATTTTTTAACTTAAACTTGCTAGAGATGAATCTTGCTGAATCTCCCAGTTGTTGTTGTTGCCAGTAATAGGCAAATGAACTTAGATTATGCCAAATAAAAGGTTCCTCCATCATGGCTCTTCCCTTCTCTTCTGTCAAAAGTGAAATCTTTCTGGAAGCTTCAATTTAAAGAGAAACAGCTAACCAATTTCAAGCAGTCTAATTTAAAAACTTCTCGTTATATGAATTATTTCCAGCACAGTTTCACAAGCACAAGTGCTTCCTTCCTGCTTTGTACAACTACAGAATACTAGAGTCTGTGGAGGATGGTAATCTACTTCTGACAAGGCCATGGGATAAACATGGCTTTAGGAAATAACATTCTGTCAAGAGGCATGCCACTATGATGCCTGTGCAGAGAGACAAATCTTTGCCTAGCACAGACCTCATGCCAATGAAAACAGTTCCATATGACTTTGGCCCCGGGGTAACTAAGTTTTTCCACCTAAGCAGGACAGACAGAAAGACTTGAGCACTCCTTTTTCTCTCCCTCTCTGGTTTTACTGATCTCTTTTGTATGAACAAATGACAGCTCAAGTAGGTAACTTCCTGAGCAATCTTCCCTGGAGACACTCTGTGTACCAGGTAAGGTAAAGGAACAAAACACAAAAGGGGGTCCTGTAAGAGGAATGTTGCCATTAATTTATACTCCTGTAGAATGCCTGGCTGACATGATGAAATACTCTAGAGGCTAGCACTGAAAAAGCAATCCTCCTAAGTGCTTCTATGGAAAGATCCTTAGGAAATGAACAGTCAGTAGGGCTGTGTACAGATGGTTTAGCTTCTGTAACCTTTTCCTTTTTCACTTTCAGATGACAATGTAAAAGGCTCTTCATTCTCAACTTTCAAACACCGTAAGAAAACTTATGTAGCTCTTCTACCCCATGTACTTTTGAATATTTTTGCTGCTGAAGCTGCTGATGTCATATTTAATATCCTTAAACCCACAAGAAATCCCAGATAATTGATTAAGCTGCTTAGGGGTGCAATATGAAAGGTGCAGGTACTTGATCTTTCATGGCATGCCACCCATGCAGTTGGTAGTTTTCCAGTCTAATTTCCTGTTAGATTTCCAATTAAATCTGTTATAAAGGAAGACAATATAAACCAGGGCAAGGTTTCCACTTTTTGATCCGACTCTATTTTGTATACTCTTTGTGCGAACAAAAAATCAATAACAAAGGTTCAGCAGTAGCATCTGTATTCACAAGAGAGCATAACTCTACAAGATTTGTGTAGCTTGTCAATTAAATCACACAGAAGTAGGTAGTAATAATACTAATGACAATACTTAAAACAACCATGTAGCTTGATCATACATATTGCAGATATCATCCTATTTTGATATGGCTTATTCACACCAAAATTGATGGGATAACTAGGAAATCCAGATGCTGGAAGAGAGGGTATTGTTGACATCACCTTCTCCTGCGTTCTTAATGAACCACTAAACTTAATACAGCAGTAGGTGAAAGTGTCACAGTAAAGTACAATTCTTCAAATGTGATTAAAACAAAGTCACAGATATTACTGACCCTTCTTTTAGAAATAACAGAAAAAAACCCATAGAACACTTTCAGGCAGAGCACAGTCTGGTAGACACACGGACAGATTAGTTGAATTAAGTCATATTCCTAAAATACTTATCAAAAAGGCAGGCACCAAGATCTACAGCTGCTTCTATGCAATGTCTTCTAAAACACATTATGCTATCATTAGAAAGATGAAATCTTTACTAGAGGACATAGTAACAACCCTTTAAGCCTTTTTTTAATGAATAATTGTGTGCTGTCTTTAATGTTCACTAAAATCAGAGAGGACTAGCATTTTAAATTCCTATCCAAAAGATTCAAGTCAGAGGAATACCAAATAATACCCTTAATGACATTTCAAGTCAGTAACCACATCTTAACAACTGGATACTGCAGCTGGCATTATCCTCTTACAAGGAACATATGAGACCTCTATCAAATTTCTAGGACATGCACAATGAATGAATCCAACAAACTTTTGCATGCAAAGGCAGTGATTTAAATAGCAACAGTTGTGAGAAAAATGTCAAAGATCTAATTTGTCCTATTTTGCATAAGCTTTTAGCATTATTCACTAATGTTGGTAGAAAAGGTTTGGTTTCAATCTACGGTTACACATCTCTGTTTGCAAAATTCAAAGTCTGTCTCTTGAACTGGCTCTATAGACTTTGACCATTGCTCACATGATCCTCTCCTCCCAAAGACTACTGGATGACTGATGCTTTACTTTGTACTGGTTTAGACATGTAAAAGCATTAAAAAAATTCACTGAGAAAGCAATACTTATTGTATAGCTTTTCTTCTGATTTTAAAACTGTTTTACATACTGCACAGAATTTCAAAAGACTAACCAGAAGGGCACATTTTCTACTTCATTTGAAGTTAACTGTTGACTGTGCAGTTTGAAGCTAGGATCTTGGCTGAGATGTTTTCAAGTCTGTTCAGGCTATGTATCTACCCAAGAGTGACATCAAAAATCTGCTCAATTTGGCGGTATCTTGGCCCAATGTATGTTCAGTTCAGCAAAGATTTTTAATGGTTACCCTTCCCCCTACATCTTCTTACCTGCTATCTCCCAAGAAAATGGAAGAGTGGCAATGTATCCAGGTAAAGAGCAAGCCGATGTAGAGGACGATCTTTCTCCTGTGTCAAATAATCTCTCTTGATGATTGTTGGCTGAGTTTTCTTTTACTAAGTCCTGTCACGCTAAAATCTTCAGCATCAAATGTACCAGCTGGCTCTGGTTGTTCTGCCTCCTGCTGTCACTGCTGCCAGAAGGACACCTGACAGATCTGATGCTCTGTAAGCAGGGCATAATCAGACCACTGTGTAGGTGACAACCTGAGCATTATCACATCTGTATCTCTGCTTCTGGTAAAACCATAAAGGCAGAAACCCCTGATAGGCAATTTGACATAAACAGCTAGTGCTCTGACACAGGTTTCTGTAAGACTTACACAGACACAGGCATTGAAGTGGGAGAAAACTGGGCAAAAATAACATGCACACATTTATTCTGGTTCAAGCAGATTGCCCAAACATATTACATGAAGAGAGAGCCCTGTAGGGGTAGAGGGACTCAGACCTTGTATCCTGAAAACTATGACTGAGGAGTCTTCATTGGTTTAGGTCTTTTGTTTTGGGGTTTGTTTTGTTTTGTTCTGCAAGGCTTTCACCCTAATTCAGTATATCTAATTTTGAGT